ATAGGAATTATTTCATAGCAGGTGGCCAACAGGCCAATATGGACAGTCAGGCCCTGGCTCCTCCCCTTAATGATGTGAGTGTGTGTGAGTGTGTGTGTGTGTGTGAGTGTGTGTGTGTGTGTGTGTGTGTGTGTGTGTGTGTGTGTTGGGGGAGGGGTTGGAAGTGCTCTCTGCCCCATCCTCCCCAGGGCCAGAACTGGCTACTCTACGGCTCTGCCAGCCACAGCCTCACTACCATAGAGACAGGCTACACCCCTCCCTGTGTGGGTGACAGCACTCTTTGAGAACGTCTTGACAGTGCCTTTGTTCTACAGAAATAAAAGAAAATGGAGCTACAAAGGGAAACCTCAGGTAGCTTTTAGCAGGGCTCAGCTGCCTGGGGCAGAGTGTGTTTAAGCTGGAGGCACTTGTCACTGGAGCTTGAGGGGAGTGCCTCAGACCCCGCCCAGTCCCTATGTGGTAAGAAGGGTGGGAGGGCAGAAGCCCCATGATCACGTTTACTTAAGAAAAAAGCTCTTTCGAATAATGGCAGAGGAGAAAAAAAATCAATGAAAATTGATAGAGAAATGTAAAACAGGGTTATGTGGGGGGGAGGGAGGGAGAGAGAGAGAGAGAGAGAGAGAGAGAGAGAGAGAGAGAGAGAGAGAGAGAGAGAGAGAGAGAGAGAGAGAGAGAGAGAGAGAGAAGCATTTGCTACAGCCAGAACTGACCTGCTTGGGCTCCAGGCCCAGGAAGGTGGGGGCTGGGAGTCAATCCCTGGCACGTGCCTGCAGAAGGACGCTGGTGGTTGGGGGAGGGGAGGCAGCTGAGTCTCTAACTCAAGTTAAGAGAGAGATTAATATATTCAATCTGCTCCAGGGTAATTGAGGGAACAATTGGAGTGTTTTTCTAAAGCCCATAAAACTGCCTCATTTGCAAGGAAGAGCTGCCTAGCTACAGTCGCAGATTTGACGGAGGCAAAAAGAGGCAGAGAGGGGACAGCTTTGGTATCCCAGGACAGCAGCTACATTAGCCAGGGCAAGGGGCTGGCAGTCCAGTTCTAACCTGCTCTCTCCTGCTGCCCGTCCCATCTCTTCCTTTATGTAGTCCCTGCATTATTTTTCCCAAACCCATCTTCCAACCTGTGAAATGGGTCACAGCATTGTTCTCTTCCAGTACTGTGGCAAGTGGATGCTTTGGGTTGGCACTAAGGGACAGGGGCATGAACAAAGAGGCGCCCAGGTCTCCCTCCCTCCCCCTCCAGGTCAGCCCCCTGAGAGTGAATGGGCAGTAAAGAGTGGAGTTAATGAAATCCGCATAGTGTGCCACTCCCGCCTGGACCACTCCAGTCTCCCGGGCAATGGGAACAGCACACGCAATAGCAAGCAATAAAAGGCATAATGAATTCAAAAGCCGCTAGGAGAGGGAGAGTGAAGACTGGCAGGGCTCTGGCCTGAAGCTGGAGGATTCCTGGGTAGCCAAAGTGCTGGCCCGCAGCTTTAGCCAGAGTCCGGACTAGGAACAAACAGGCTGAATGGGGGTGGGGAGAGGGAGGAAACAAAGGGAAAGAGCCGCGACGTCACTGAGGTGTGGGGACGGGACGGAGGGTAGAGGGGAGGTCGGGCAGCCACTCAGCTCGCTCGTGGCAGCTCGGTTCTCCTCCGCTTCTTCTTAATAAAAGCCCCCAGCTTGTTCAGTGCCAGAGCCATAGTCGGAATCCACAGGCTTAGAGCCAGGTGCTTCACATTGGGTGATTGCTTTATTAGCTTTCTCCTTTCTTCCTTTCCCCGTTCCTCCGGGGCAAAAAAATAATAACAATAAAATAAAATAAAAAGGTGTTTTAAATGGAAGAAATAAAAAAAAATTGAAAGCCTCTTTTAAAAGTCTCCAGGGAAACAGAATCATTTCCATGAAACAAAACTGCGATTGTTTGGGAGAGGTGACTGCGGGGAGGGCTGCCACCACACCCTCCCTCCTCTTCCTGGGGAACTACAGGAGGAAATTGAGGTTTGCAACGGCAGGAATCCCCAAGGTGGTCCCTAGAGCTACTAGCAAGGAATTAAACTCTTGTTTCCAGAAACTCCATCCCTGGGAATTTCCAGCCCAAAGTTTCCGTCTTCAAAAGCCCTGTCTATGGGAAGATGAGTGACCTTTGAGGCCACAGTGGCTTGAGGCCTTCCCTCCCCTAGGCCACCCAACAGAGAGGCATCATTTTTGGGAGTTGGTCAGAGCTCAGAGTCCCCTCTGCCTATCACTGTACAGACCAGGTACCTCCTTTCTGGTCGCTCCCCTTCTTCTGGGCAAGGACAGATGATTAGCCAAATGGTCTCAAAGCTGCCAGGAGGTGAATTGAGGTGTCCCAGGTGTGGACAGACATCTAAGGAAGGCTCTGTATCTTGGGGGCTGGTGATGGCCAGCGGCTGCAGGGAACCTGGTAGCTTCTGCCTGTGTGCTCCCCTAGGGTCCTCCATAGTGAGTCAGGACATCCTCAGTCCCTGGCTGTCCATATTGGAAATACTCACGAGAACAGTTCCTGCTAACCGCCCCCACCTCCAGGAAAATATTAGCTCAGAGCAACTGCCTGTTAGAAGCAACTAACTGGTACACCATGGCCAGGAAGCAGAAGGATCCAGACTCAGTCAGCAGACATTCATGCTGAGCCCTGGCCCTAGTCACTCACTGAGCCCTGTCCCCGCAGCCCGGTTTGATGCTTGCCTGCCCTTCATCCTATTGACCTTCATCTGTTGTGGCTTGGAAAAATGGCACCCACTATGTAAAGCAAAAACCACTTGTGAAGCTGAAATTCTAAACTGAATAGACTGTTGAGACACCTGGTGCCAACAGGGCTGACAATAGCTCTGAAGGAATGCGATCTATGCTGGGAAGGCTTCCTGGAGGAAATGACTTTGAATTGAAGATTCTGTTTCGGGAGTCCTTAAAATCTGTTCCTGGACTAGAAGTGGATTTTATTGAAGTTGCGCTGAAAGCCCCAAAAGAAGTTCTCTGTTGTCCCTTCTGTTCCTCCTAGTCACTGCCTGCCTCTCTTCAGTTCCCTTTCTCCTCTTCTTCAGTTGTCAACCAGAGAGCCACGGGAAGCTCCCCCTCTCCGGGGCAAAATTCCTGCTTCCTTATGAAATGCTCTTATCTGGATGTCCGTGTCCCGTTCCAGGGCGACAGTATGGCTATGAGGGTCCCTATGGTTCTAGGCCACAGGTCCAAAGAACTACTGGGCCCCACCAGCCTTTTGTGATCTGCCTAGGCCTCCGAGTGACCATGGGGACAGGAGCCTGCCTTCCTTAGTCTGAGCTGCAGGACCGAGTCTGTCTAACTGCAAGCCTGTCCCCCTGTTCACGAGGAGCCCTCCATTGTCTGTGGGCTCTGGCACTGTCATCAGGGCTGTGATTGCTCACCCCCCCCACCCCCACCCAAGGGGAGCGATTTTCCTCTCCCTTGAAAGCTATTTTCTTGTCTTGGTAGAAGCAGACATCTGACACTTTAAGAGGGAGTGTGGCGCAGAGATGATGGCTTTAAATAACAGAAATTAGAGCTGCTGAGGTCGAGGCAGCCATCTCGCCAGCCCCCTCCCCCCAGCAGTCCCAACCTCTTTCACCCCCATTTTACAGCATAGCCTGAATGCATTGTCCATGTGGCTCAGGCCGGCTAGGCCGTGCTGGGACCCAAAGAGCAGGGACAGCTTGTTCTTGGGTTCTGATCCTCCTCCTCTCTAGATAACACTGTCAGATGGAGGGACAGGGCCCAGGCTCTGGACTCAGGGAGCTTTCAGACTCACCCATCTCATTTCACAACAGAACAGAGCTGTACACAGAGGGGTCAGACAGGTGTGTTAATTGATCCAGAAATGAATGGACAAAGGTTGTAGTGGACCATGTTAGTGGGCCAGGAGCTGGACCAGAGCAGCTGTTCCTGGGTCCCTGTCACCTGCTGCCTGCCTGCTAACTACCTGAAATCCCTTCCTTACAGACCCCCTCCCGAGCCTCCTTACACTCACTCTGCTCTTTGCCATGATAGCTTCAGTTCCTCTCTCTCTCCTTCCCAATTACACCTCTCCACGACCAACTCAGTCTACCTCGCCGGCTCTGCTCAGTGCCAGCCTAGAGTGTGTGTGTGTGTGTGTGTGTGTGTGTGTGTGTGTGTAGAGAGAGAGAGAGAGAGAGAGAGAGAGAGAGAGACAGAGACAGAGACAGAGACAGAGACAGAGACAGAGACAGACATACAGAGGGAGAGAGCGAGAGAGAGCAGGAGAGCTGTGCCCTTCAAGGGCCACCTCTGGTTGTCCTCTGCTGCTAGCTGAACCATCCCCTTCTCTTTGCTAGCTTATACCAGACCTCATTCCTGGAACCTTCTCCCCTAAGCCTAAAATTGCCATCCCTAACCCTCACCCATCTTGTATGGATCTGACAGCCAAATATGGGTTGGAGGATTAAATGGAAACATGAGTGGAGAAGGAATAGAAGACTCTTCTCAAATGACACATCGGAGAAAGCCTTTCCTGGACTCTTCAGAGCATTCCTGCCAGCCTTAAGGATCATGTGTGATACCCCTATTGTATCCAACTGTATCTACTGATACTCCATGCTTAGGGGCTGACCAAGCCTGGGATTCCACACACTACTATATTCTGAGATTCCCAATAAATGTTGAGATTTAGTGGAATCCAGAATCCTGGGAGTGTTTTCTCCACCTGTGAAATGAACCACTGCTTGCTCTGTGAGTTCTCAACTGGACTTGATGCCTGAATGCAGAACACGGCCATAGTGGGAGACCTCCCACGAAAGGATTAAGCACCCCTCACCTGAGCCCGAAGCTGCCAGGGTCCTGGTTCCCAGCTAAGCCCTTCCTGGTCACTGTTGGATCTGGATGGGCTCATAGAAAAGCCTTGTCACTCAGACATCCCTCAAAGTCTGCTGAGAATGTAGGAAATTGAGGCTGGGAACTGTAAGGCTGCAGAAGGTCAGTATAATGGGAGACCATGTCCTGAGCCCGGACCCGGCAGTACCCACCTGTAGATCTGGATGTAGTGACATTAGTTCTAGCTGGCTGGGCTCCACAAGGCAGTTTGAGACAGATGACCCAGGGGCTCGGTGCACATGGAAAGCTACACTGTAGGTCAGGCCTCCGCAGTGGCGGGCTGTGGGGTCCTTGCTAGCTCGGAGAAGAGCCAGGTTGCCACAGTAGCGATACAGGTCCTCATGCTCCCGTGCTGTCAGGTTCATTCGGGGCTCATCCGGTCGTGGGTAGATGGGAAAGATAGCCTCACCCACCCTCTGGGCCACCTGTCCTAAGGGTCCATCCAGCCTCAGCGCCTCTATTCGCAGATGTGCATCATTCTGCCCGTCATTCTTGCAGAACCCTGGGTGGAGAACATGGGTTTGAATGTGGTCTCCAGGGTCTCCCTTTCTCTTCCAGGGAATAAGAAGGACATTCAGTGCCCTGGGACAACTTGAGCTAAACCCAAGTGTGCTTGGCTAAGATTTCTCTTGTGGGTGATCCCTCTTAGGTCTCACCCAAAGTCTTTACCTCTGTCTCATGTGAGCCCACCAGAGTCAGGAAGGGAAGGCTTACAGCCTATGGGAGTCATTCTGGATCCTGACACCACTCAGGACCAGGGAAGAGTTTGGCAAGTCTCTGATTTCTGGCCAATCATAGTCTTGGGCTTCCACTAAGAAGCCTACCTGGATAGCTCTCATTCAAAGCTGGGATCTTCTAAATCACTTAGCTATTTTTGATTCAGAATTCTCACCTCTTTGTACCCAGTTTGTAGGCTCCCAGAAGGCAAGACCAAGGTCTCCTATCCATCCATGTCTGTCCGTTGTCCATTTCTATAACCTACGGGTGCTTAGGGAACGTCTAGCATCGTTTCATGTAACAGTCACTGCTTAAGACTGGCTCTAGATGTGCTTTGGGCTTGCTTCTCTCAAACCCATACCCCCCTTCAGTTATTCTTCGTTATCACCCCCTGTTAGAACAGCATCGGCGTCCCCATGTTACACTGAAGGAAGCAGCGGCTTATACAGGGCCAGCATTTGCCCAAGGTCACACAGTCACACAGGCAGAGCTTGGAAGTCTAGGCTCCCCAAGGTTCTGAAAAGGTTCAGAAGTCCCAAGGACCCTCCGTCCCCCCAACCCCTGACTCCTCTGTGTACCTTTGGGCAAAGTAAAGATAAACTTGTTCCTGGTGAAGGTGAGGCTCTGCTCAGGATCCTGCTGTTCAATGACCTCAGTGACAGCAGAGCAGGCTGGGAGGGGGTCCCCATCATTGACTCGCAACTGCACTCCAGCCCTGGAGCCTGCTTGCAGTGGATTTTCAGCTGACAGCCTCAGGGCATATCTGCCCTCCTCATTAAATCCCACACTCAAGACTTCAAACTCCAGGTCCAGTGTCATCTCTTCCGCCTTCAGCCTCTGGCTCATCAGGGATGCAGGGAGGTGGAGATCAGGACCTCTGAAGGCCATGGCCTCCTCGGGTCAGAAGTCCAGGCAGAACTCTGTCTTCTGCTCACAGTGCCATTCCAGTCTGAAAGCAGACAGATTGGCATTTGGAGCCATACCTCACCCTTCTCTGTTTGTTTGAGAAGGATCTAGGCAACAAGCCAGGAAACTGAGCCCGAACTAGGGAACAAAAGCAGCAATTATTTCTTCCCATTTAGCATTTGATCTTCCAGCAAATATTTATTGAGAACCTACTGTATCTGAGGCACTGTTTTAGGCATTTTGAATATAGCAGGGACCCAAACAACATTCCTGCACCCCCCCCAGGCCTGTCTTCTAGTGAAGGCAGCAGGTAGAGAAAACAAAGATCAACATGGAACACGGAAACCATCACCACCACCATCATCACCATCACCACCATGACAAGGAAGCTAGCTCAGTCAGTAAATTACTTGCTGTACATGCATGAGAACCTGTGTTTGATTCCCAGAACCCACGTAAGCTGGGAATGGTGGTGCATGCCTGTCAGCTCAGCCTGGGAAGGTCTAGATAGGCAAATCCTGGAGCTGGCCTGCCACTCCAGAAGCATCAGTGAGTTCCTGTCTCAAAAAAAGTAAAAGGTTCCTGAGGAATAACGCCCAAGATTGATAGCTGGCCTCTGCATGTGAACCCACACATACATGTGTACTCATGAACATATACACTCTTAAACCTATACACACAGTATATGTGCAAACAGATACACACACTCACACACACACACACACACACACACACACACACTACCTCAAATTCCCTAGTATGCGAAGAGATTATATATTCTATACATTCTATAAAAAGTGAGGGGCACATAGGTTAGCGGTATTCAGAACTCTACATTTCTTGTGAGCATGTCTCTATCTGAGAGCTCTTATTGTGGATGTGGGAAGGCCTCCAAGGTAAGGGAGTGTCCAAACAGTATGTGTTTTTGCTGCCAGCTTACTTTAATCAAGACACACAGTTTCACTTTACAGAGAGAATTTGGTCTCTCATGCCAAGGTTGTCAGTCAGGACTCTGTGTTCCCTGGTTCTGGATTTCAAAGGCAATCAGAGGATCCTAGACACTCCTCAAGAAAGAGCAAGACTACTGTCACCACTGCTATCACACTATCACCATCACCACCACCACCATCATCATCATCACCACCACCATCATCACCACCACCACCATCACCACCACCACCATCATCACCACCACCACCATCACCACCACCACCACCATCACCATCACCATCACCACCACCACCACCATCACCACCACCACCATCATCACCACCACCACCATCACCACCACCACCATCATCACCACTACCACCATCACCATCATCACCACCACCATCATCACCACCACCATCACCACCACCATCACCACCACCATCACCATCACTATCATCACCACCATCATCACCATCATCACCATCACCATCATCACCACCATTATTACCTACTGTGGCACATATAACTGTGTGCATCACAGGGACCTGGAAAGGGGGAGTAATGGCAGAAAGAAATACAAGACTCTGGGTTCACTTCAAGAATGAACATTTTTTCTATTTTTCCCACTGCTATTTATATGTTATTTACGTAGCTACTAGAAATGGCATTGCAAGCAGTAGAGTTTGAGCAAACAGTCTTTCCTTATTCCTAATCTGAGTTTTTTCTTCTGCAGTTCCCTGTACACGTGGCCTTGTGTTTGCAGGAGGACAGTCCTTGTAGGCTTTATCTCCTGTCCACTGCTTTCCACAGTCATGGGACCATATCTGGTTCAGGATTTGTGCTTGAGAAAGGAACTTCAGACCATCTAGACCCCAACAATTACCACCATCACTACCACCACCAACAACAAAACCATTGTCACCACTATCATTGTTACCACCATAAATCATCCTCATCCTCATTATCTAATGGTATCAATATTACTACTATTAGAGATGCTTTCCACTGAGCAGTTTCTGGGCACTAGACATTCTTGTGGATCTATAAAGTGACATGACCATTTCATGTCTTTTAGATGGAGGATGTGAGGCTGGAAGAATGTTCAGACACTTTCCAGAACAAACAGTCAGCGAGAATTGAGATCTGAACCTAAGGAGTACTGTCTAGCTACATATTCCCCTACAAAACATGTCCTAGGCTCAACCCAAAGTCGTGATACCTTCTACTGGGGAAATTTTGTAGCCTGAAGCTGCAGGACAGTTTTGAGTCTGTAGAAGATGCTTGCATTCAGTTAGCCATGTCAACTGAAATCGTTTTCATGTAGGAAAAGACACTGGCAAGTCCAGATAAGGGCCCCAGTATATGTGGCAGGTTTCCTTTACAACTATCAAATTCAGTTTCTTCATGTCCCCAAGGAGACTTCAAGGAAAAGTTCTAGTGACCCAGCATGTAGGTGATGTTCAGTAGATCCCTTCTCTCTGGTTGTTGGTGCCCCTTCTGCATGATGGGCAGCAGTGGGGTAGGTGAGCCATCCTGTAGCTCTTGTGCTTTGGAAATCTGTAAGTCACACAGGGCAAAGGGCCACAGAAGGACTATTTGGGGGAGATGGTGGGTCAAGGGACTGCTTGGAAACCCACATGTGGCCAGTCATGGACTGGATCCTGTGATTTATCTCTACCAGGTCTGTCCTGAAGTAAAGAGGCTTGGTACAAACAGCTCTCTTCCCTAGTATGTCTAAAGCCACTTGCAAAGACGCCATAGATGAGGAGCCATCTTGCCTGCCCCAAGACCTTTGCACACTGCATCCCCCTGCTCCAGCAGGCAAGGCCTACGTGCAGAATTGTGTCTTCCCGGTTGCTTGTCCCAGTCCCTTCAGAACCGCCATCCTCCCTATGCCCTCTCATCTTTTCACAAGCCTCTGAGGTGGCTTGTTGACTTCAGCATGCTTTTAGGACCCTCCACTATCTGCCATCCCATCCCTTTCCAAGCATCCCCTTCCAACTCTGTCTCTAGGGTAGGCTCACTTTGGGGTGTGTGTGTGTGTGTGTGTGTGTGTGTGTGTGTGTGTACTTAAACAAAAAACTAGGTTGACAGGATGGCTCAGTGGGTAAAGGCACTTGCTACTAAGCCTAACAACCTGAGTTTGATTCTTGAGACCTACATGGTGGAAGAAAACCAACTTTCAAAAAATTGCCCTCTGACTTACACATGAGATCTGTGGAACAAATGTTCACTAACATACACAATAAACAAGTGGATAGATAGTGAGACAGATAGGTGATAGAAGATGAGAGATGATAGATAGATAGATAGATAGATAGATAGATGTGATACAAAATTTAAGGAAAACAAACAATTAAAATTATGGGTCTGGGGATGTAGCTCAGTTCATAGAACTATTGCCTATCATACACCAAAGTCGTAGGTTTGATTTCAGCACCACATAAAGATGAGTGTAATACAAGAGGTAGAGGCAGGAAGATTAGAAGTTCAAGGTCATCCTTGACTACATATCAAGTTTGAGGTCAGCTTGGGCTACATGAAGAAAAGAAGCAACAACAAAATGCTAATGATTTTTAAAATTACATAAATAGATTCAAACAGACAAATAGTGTTTTCAAAGGTATAGTTCAGGGGTATGTTATCTTTGCTGGGTTATCAAGCTCTAGAACTCTTTATCTCCTAAAACAGAAACTGTCCCCATTAAACAGAAGCTCCCTCCTGCCAGCCCTCATTCCCTGGCATGCTACCTTCTGCTTCCCGTCTCTGGATGCCCAGTGGACAGGTCCACTGCAGGTGCTCCTATGAATGAAGCCTCACAGCACGGCCCTTTCAGACGGCCCACTTCCCACAGGATAGCATCCTAGGGAAGGCTCAGATTGCACCCTGCCAGGTCCATCCTGTCCCTTCGTACTGCCTGCCATTGCTGGTGTTGTTCCTCTGCCCACACAGCCCAGTTTCTTCTGCAGCCTGACAAAACCTTTGCCTGCAGCCCTTCCAGTGATGCTCTCCTTGCCTACCCTGTACCCTTTGCTGTCTTGTTGCAACCGATGACCTACCCATCCTCTATCGAAGTTTCTTTAGGGAACATGTGACAGTTTGTGTGCCCAGGTCAGTAATAGGGACCTCGGAGGTGATTAAAGAATCAAGGAATGAATTAGTGAATTAATTAATAAAGACAACTTAGCCAGGGCTGGAGAGATGGCTTAGCTGCTAAGAGCACTGACTGAACTTCCAGAGGACCCAGATTTGATTCCCAGCACCCACATGGTGGCTCACAACCCTCTATAACTATAACTCCAGTCCCAGAAAATCCAACACTCTTTTCTGGCCTGCATACACTTGATGCACAGACATACATGCAGGCAATACACACATGCACATTAAATATAATAATAAGAAATTAAACACAGCTCAGCTTCTGTTTGTGGCTATTTCATCTGGATTCCATCTGTGAGAAGTAAAGACCATTTGAAGCTTTTGAACTCAACTTAAGGAGCCTTGGTGTGCCCAGAAGGGAGGGAAGCCATGATGGACTACACACTGCACAGCAGGACAGGAGGCAAGACCTCCTAATGCTTAGACTTTTCTGAAGAGTTCAGTTCTCCGTTCTGCAGAGATGGTCATAGCATCTTAGCATATCAGGACTGGACGACATCCACATTTTGCACTTGGGGAAACCGAGTCCAAACATGCATAGAGAGACAGGGCTGGACTCCCATCTTTAACAGCTTTCAAAACACTCAAAACTTCAGGTAGGGCTGTGCTGGGTGGTAGGGCCTGTGCCCCTCAAGAGTGGAGGAAGGTGTAGGGAACCAGCAGTTTCAGAGGGTCGAATGACCTCCAAGACACCTTCCACAGTCCCCGCATGAAAGCCTTAATGGGGCCCCGGACTCCCCTTTCTTCTGCAGAAGAATGGCCACTCAGAGGCTGCTGGGGTCTGGAAGAGCTGGGCCTGTAATTAGCTGCCCCAGAGGGCCTCTTCCTCTTTCCCACAATGACTCTTTTCAGCATGCCTGCCAGTGCCCCCTGGGGGGGGCTCCTGAGGGCTCTTAGGTCCCCATCTCCAGGCACCCACCTCCCACTCCCTCTCTACCCACCCACTCCTGGCCTCCACATAGAGC